GCGATCCAAGTCCTGGACCGGGTGCCTAAACCTCGTGCTGGGCGCGTGTGCGTGTGTGCCCAAGATCCTGAGAGGAGAATGGAGGAGAAGGGATTGCAGCATGGCCATCCCCCCTGCGGGGGTGATTTCTCGCTTTCTGTCTCTCTGTCTCTCTCTGTCTTTCTGGCAAGTGCACGTGCCCTATAGCAAAAACCTCTCAAAACAAAAACAAAAACAAAAAAAACATTCGGGGGGCCAGCAGGTGGCATGGTGGTTAGGATGCTGGACTCCTACATGGCTGACCATGGTTTAAGTCCTGGACCTGGAGGCTTGCTTTCTCACTTTCCCTCTCTCTCTCTTTCTTTCTCTCTCTGATGAGTGCAGGTGTCCTATAGAATTAAAATAATAAATAAATAAAATTTAAAAAATAATTTTTTAAAATACTAAATTTGGGGCCAGCAGGTGGTATGGTGGTTAAGGTACTACATTCCCATATGGCCGACTGCAGTTTGAGTCCCAGAACAAGTGACTTGAAAATCACAACAAATAGGGACCCAGCAGTTAGCGTAATGGCTATGTCGCTGGACTCCCACGTAGTCCACCGCGGTTCACGTCCCGGACCCGGTGGCTCCTCGGTGGATGGCTGACAAGGTGACTCTTCCTCCTCCAGATTCGGACCCCGACGCATCCGGGAAGAGTCAGTGATGCTGCGGACAGTCAATCCCAGCACGGGGGCCCTCCCCTTCCAGTCCCTCATGGTCGCGGACCTAGGCGATGTGAATGTCAATCTTTACAACCTTCAGGACAGCTGCCGGCTAATTCGAGAGGCTTATCAGAACATTGTAGCAGTTGGCTGCATTCCTCTGACCTTGGGTAATGGCATCTGTAAGGGACAGCATCGTTCTTGTGCTCAGGGGTCATCTGCCATGGGCTTGAACACAGCTCCTTCTCCCGGGTGAGCCGCTGTGAACATGGGGACAGTAGGAAAGTGAACATTTTAATGAATTTATTTTAATACCTGGGGGAGGGTATTTAAAATTTTAGATCGGCAGGGCTGATAAGCCTCGGCCAGGTGGCAAGTGAGGTACTTGCTTTGGTGCACAATTTAAGGGCTGCCAAAAAGCCAGTAATCCAAATCAGTGAAATCGGATAAATATGACTGATTTCTCTTTTTGCCTCAGGCGACAGGACAGCATGGTTACTGATCCTGTTTTTTTCTTTTTTAATTTTTTCCTTTTTTAGTTCTGTCATAGAGCGTGTGTGCTCTCCAGAGAGAGACAGAGAGGGAAAGTAAGAAATGAACCATCCCCTTCTTTTCCCGTCTCCTCAGGATTTCAAGGATGTATGCACATGCACTGGCATGATTCTCAGGCGGCTGAATCCGGGACTCGAACTGCTCAGTCAGTTGTGTGAGATCCAGCACCTTAACCTCCGTGCCATCTGCTGGCCTTTTTTGTTTTTTAATCGTCAACGAGTGTGTGCACTGGTGAGACAGAGAGAGACAGAGAGAGTTTGGGCACACATGCATATGTCCCCAGCATGTTCCTCAAGCCACTGGCCAGGACTGGAACTGCGGTTGACCATGCGGGATCCAGCTCTCATTACACAGTGCCTACCATTGCACTGGAGTGCCAGCCCAGTCCTGTGATTTTTTCAGTTGTTAGTTTTTGCTCAATATAGATTCTTTTGCATTGATTTTGGTTTTCAAAACACTCGGGGGGCGGGACCAGCGGTTAACATAATGGCTATGTCGCTGGACTCCCATGTAGTTGACCGCGGTTCAAGTCCTGGACCCGGTGGCTTAAACTCATGCTGGGCGCGTGTGCGTGTGTGCCCAAGATCCTGAGAGGAGAATGGAGGAGAAGGGATTGCAGCATGGCCATCCCCCCTGCGGGGGTGATTTCTCGCTTTCTGTCTCTCTGTCTCTCTCTGTCTTTCTGGCAAGTGCACGTGCCCTATAGCAAAAACCTCTCAAAACAAAAACAAAAACAAAAAAAACATTCGGGGGGCCAGCAGGTGGCATGGTGGTTAGGATGCTGGACTCCTACATGGCTGACCATGGTTTAAGTCCTGGACCTGGAGGCTTGCTTTCTCACTTTCCCTCTCTCTCTCTTTCTTTCTCTCTCTGATGAGTGCAGGTGTCCTATAGAATTAAAATAATAAATAAATAAAATTTAAAAAATAATTTTTTAAAATACTAAATTTGGGGCCAGCAGGTGGTATGGTGGTTAAGGTACTACATTCCCATATGGCCGACTGCAGTTTGAGTCCCAGAACAAGTGACTTGAAAATCACAACAAATAGGGACCCAGCAGTTAGCGTAATGGCTATGTCGCTGGACTCCCACGTAGTCCACCGCGGTTCACGTCCCGGACCCGGTGGCTTAAAACTCACGCCAGGTGCGTGTGTGTGCGTGCCCAAGATCCCGAGAGGAGAACGGAGGAGAAGGGATTGCAGCGTGGCCATCCCCCCTGGGGGGTGATTTCTCGTTTTCTGTCTCTATGTCTCTCTCTGTCTGTCTGGCGAGCGCACACGCCCTATAGTGAAAATCTCCCCCCCCAAAAAAAACCCACAACAAATAAATAAATATATATTTTAAATACTACAGTACCTCACTTCCATTTTCTGTATGTATTTTTTTTCTCTGAACATAAATATCATCTAACTATGCAGCAGCTCTGGAGTTGTCCTGAGCCTATTCTGGTTTTTCTGGGGACTGGCTGATTCCTGACTCGTTCTTTGCTCAATTAAACTCTACTAAAATATTAAAATAGTATGAAGGAATCTTCAAAAGTTCATGGAAAATATGTATTATGAAACTACTATGTGCGGATGTCTAAATTTTTAAAAATAAATAATTAATTTTATTATTATTATTATTATTATTATTATTAATTTAATGAGAGAGAAAGGAAAAGTGAGAAAGCAAGCTGCCAGGTCTAGGACTTGAACCATGGTCTTCTACATAGTGGTCCAGTGCCTTACCACCACATCGCCTGCTGACCTTGGATTTCTAAATTATTATTTTTTTTAAGAGAGATTTTTGCTGTAGGGTGTGTGTGTTCTTCAGAGAGACAGAGAAAAACAGAGAGAGACACAGAGGCCAGAGAGATAGAGAGACAGAAAGTGAGAAATCACCCTCCGGGGGATGGCCTCACCGCAATCTCTTCTCCATTCTCTTGAGATTTTAGCACACATGCACAAGCGCCTGGCATGAGTTTTAAGCTGCCAGGTATGGGACTTGAACCATGGTCAACTCTGTGGGAGTCCAGCAATGTAACCATTATGCTATCTGCTGGTCCCAGGATTTCTAAATTTTTTTTGCACCAAAATAAGCTTATATTTCAATTCCATTTTCCCACAAACTGTTTTTTTTGAGAGGTTTTCACTATAGGGCGTGTGCACTCGCTAGAAAGAGAGAGACAGAGTGACAGAAAGCAAAAAATCACCCCCCAGAGGGGATGGCCACGCCGCAATCCCTTCCTCCTCCATTCTCCTCTCGGGATCTTGGGCACACATGCACAGGCACCCAGCGTAAATTTAAGCCACTGTGTCCAGGACTTGAACAGTGGTTGACTACATGGGAGTCCAGTGACATAGCTATTATGCCAACTGCTGGTCTCCCCCACAAACTTTCTGAAGTTCCTTCATATCTGTTTTGGCCCAGCCATGATGGCACAAGCAGTTAGGGGCACTGCTGTGTCATGCTGGAGCCATGTGGGAAGGCTCTGGGTTTGTGCCCCAGACCGCAGGCTAGGGGAGGATTGTGATGTGAAGACCCTGTACAGGGTTCCCCGCTCCCTGTGAAGGAACTAAATGAACTTAAAGAAACAGCGTTTATAGGAGTAGCAATTGGAGTGGTGATTAACGTGGCTGGACTTCCACATGGTTGACCATAGTTTGAGTCCCAGACTTGATGGCTTAAAAATCATGCTGGGCACATGTGTGTGCATGTGCCCAAATCCCAGGAGGAAAATGGAGGAGAAGGGATGTGGCACGACCATCCCTTCTAGGGAGTGTTTTCTCATTTTCCCTGTCTCTGTGTCTCTCTCTCCAGTGAGTGCACACACCCTGCGGTCAAAATCTAAAACAAACGAGCAAACAGTATTTATAAGGGCCAGCAGGTGGCGTGGTGGTGAAGGCACTAAACTCCCACTTGGCAGGCTGTGGTTTGAGCGCAGACCTGGCAACCTGCTTTCTCACTTTCTCTCTCCGTCTCTCTGGTGAGTGCATGTGCCTTATAGCAAGTTTAAAAGTAATCATGACGGGGCTGGCAAGTGGCATGGGGGTGAAGATATGCACTCCCGCGTGGCTGGCCATGGCGCAAGTCTTGGATCTAGTGGCTTGCTTTCTCACTTTCTCTCTCTCTGATCAAAAATTTAAAATAATAAGAATAAATAAAATAAAATAAATAAAAAATAAAAATATGATCCACCGCTATCTTTAGTCAGCCTCAGACTGTGGACATGCGCATGCCTGACACATTCAGGGAGGTGGCCAGACATGAACCGGGAAATTACCCCTGTGGGGTTGCCTTGCAGAGAGTTACCACTGAGCTATCCTTCAGTCCACTGGTTACTAAGTTTGTCCGTGAGATTTTTTCCTATGGGACCTGTGCCCTTGCTGGAGAGACAGAGACAGAAAGTAAGAAATCACCTCCCGGGGGATGACCACACCACATCCCTGGCATGTTTCAAGGTACTGGGTCTGGCACTTGAACTGTGGTCGACCATGTGGGAGTCCAGCGCCTTACCCACTATGCCACCTGCTGGCCCCCATTACTGTTTTTTTTAGCATATGTAGCATAATATTCTTTGTATTTTCCACCCCGCCAAGTGCCTCAATCGCTTTACCCACATCCTAGCCTAGATCCCTTGCCTGGACAGGGTACCAGTAGGGCTTGGGTGGGACTCTGGCGACTTCAAAGGCAACGCTTTAAGTGACTGTTAGAGGAAACTGCAAGGGGGTGTTGTTGTCCCGTCAGGGCAGTTTTCTTTTCCCTTTTTCAGTGTAGCATTGTTTTCTTCTCTGGTTCAAATAGAAAGACAGGACCTTTTCCTAAATATCCAAGTTTTTAAAGGGCCTGGCCTACATAACCTAGTGGTGAGGAGTGTGGGTGTCACGGGAAACCTCAGCTCTACTGTTACCAGCTGTGTTACTCTATGCACTGCTTGCTGCCTCCTCGTCTGTAAGATGGAATTTTTCTTTTAAGTTTTGCTATGGGGAGACCAGCAGTTGGCATAATGGCTACGTCGCTGGCCTCCCATGTAGTCAACCACTGTTTGAGTCCCGGACCCAGTGGCTTAAACTCATGCTGGGCATGTGTGTGTCCAAGATCCTGAGAGGAGAATGGAGGAGAAGGGATTGCGGTGTGGCATGGCCATCCCCCCTGAGGGTGATTTCTCGCTGTCTGTCTGTCTGTCTCTCTCTGTCTGTCTGGCAAGCGCTCGTGCCCTATAGCAAAAACCTCTCCAAAATTTTTTTTTGCTATGGGGCTTATGCACTTACTAGAGAGACATGGGGTGTGGTGAGAAAGTGCTCCCCTTTGGGAATGGCCACGCCACCATCCTTACTCCTTCTATTTCTCCTTCCAGGATTTTTGGCCACATGCGCCCACATGTCCGGTATATTTTTTAGTCACTGGGTCTGGGACTCAAACCATGCAGTTGGCCACGTGGGATCCAGCCACCTTAACCATCATGCCACTGACTGACCGGGAATATTAGTAATAACACCTACTTGGGACCAGCTGATGGTGTAATGGTTATATCACTGGACTCCCACATGGCAGACTGCTGTTTGAGTCCCAGACCCAGAGGCTTGAAACTCACACTGGGTGCATGTGCATGTGTGCCAAGCTCCATGAGAGGAGAATGGAGGAGAAGGGATTGTGGTGTGGCCATCCCCCCAGGGATTGATTTCTCACTTTCTGTCTCTCTGCTTGTCCAGCGACCACATGTGCCCTATAGCAAAAATCTCTAAATAATAATAATAATAATAATAATAATAACACCTACCTCATTGTCTTATATGAAGGGCATACAATGAAAGTGAACAGAAGGGCCAGCAGGTGGTATGGTGGTTAAGGTGCTGGACTCCCACGTGGCTGACCATGGTTCGAATCCTGGACCTGGTGGCTTGCTTTCTCTCTCTCTCTCTCTGGTCAAATTAAAGATAATAATGATAATAAATAAATAAATAAGGGTGCCAGCAGGTGGCTTGGTGGTTAAGGGCACCGGACTCCCACATGGCTGACCATAGTTCAAGTCCCAGACCTGGTGGCTTGCTTTCTCACTTTCCCTCTTTCTCTCACATACACTCTGTCCCTCTCTGGTCAAATACATAAATAAATAAATAAATTTAAATGAAAATAATTCTTTTAAAATATAAATAAATAAAATAATTCTTAAAAACATTAAAAGAAAGTGAATAGAAAGTACCCGACATCAAGCTTGGCATATATAAACGTCAATAAACATCACTATTGTTAGTATTAATAATTATTGGTAGTAGGGGCTGGACAGTGGCTTAGCAATAGCATGTCTCTATGAGACCTCTCTGAGTGTGTTAGGTCTGTGTGCCCATGATCTGGGGCTAGCTGGAGCTGGGGATGGTTTATGGCGAAGAGACCCTGTCGTGCTGTCTCTGTGTCTCAGTCTGTCTCTGTCTCTCTCTGTCTCACTCATGGAAGAAATAAATACGCTGTAAACAATTATCAATAGTAACAGTTTTCTGGGTCTGCACCATATCAGCCAGTACGGTACAGAACATTTTCGTCATCACAGAACGTTCTAGTGGGCAGGGCTGTACTAGCCATTTACCTGTACACTTTGTCTAATTTCCTCTTTTATTTACTTATTATTATCATTATTTAAATTTTTTTGCCACAGGGCATGTGCACTCACTGGATAGGGACAAAGAAAAAAAATGAAAAATCACCTCCCCCTCCCACCCCGGAAGATGCCATATTGCAATCCCTTCTCCTCCATTCTTCGTTTGAGATTTTGGACATGTGCACACATGCACTGGGAGTGTTTTTCTTTCTTTCTTTCTTTCTTTTTTTAAGGGAGATCTTTGCTATAGGGCATGTACGCTCGCTGGAGAGACAGAGAGAGAGAAAGCAAGATATCACCCTCCAGGGGGATGGTCACTTTATAATCCTTTCTCCTCCATCCTCCACTTGGGATTTTGGGCACACACTCACACATGCCCAGTGTGAGTTTCACACCGCTGGGTCTGAGACTTGAACCATTGTCAGCCATGTGGGAGCCCAGTGATGTAACCATTAAGCCATCTGTTGGTCCCTTCTTTTTATTGAGAGAGAGATTTTTGCTATAGGGCATGTGTGCTCGCTAGAGAGACAGAGAGACAGAAAGTGAGAAATCACCCCTCCCCCCCAGGGGGAATGGCCATGCCACAATCCCTTCCCCTCTTGGGATTTTAGGCATGCACACACATGCGCCTGGCGTGTTTCAAGATGCTGGACCTGGGACTTAAACCATAGTCAGCCATGCAGGAGTCCAGCAATATAAACATTATGCCATTTGCTGGTCCTCTGGAAGTGTTTTTCTTTTCTTTTTCTTTGAGGTATTTTTGCTATAGGGCACGTGCACTCGCCAGGAAGACAGCGAGAGACAGACAGAGAGACAGAAAGCAAGAAATCACCCCCCAGGGGAGTTGGCCACGGCACAATCCCTTCTCCTCCATTCTCCTCTCGGGATCTTGGGCATGCACGCACACGTGCCTGGCGTGAGTTTAAGCCACCTCATCTGGGACTCAAATCATAGTCGGTTACATGGTAGTCCAGGGACATAGCCGTTACGCCAACTACTGGTCCCTGGAAGTGTCTTATAAGCCACCAGGTCTGGGACCAAACTGCATGTGGGATCCAGTGACAACCATCATGCCACCTGCTGGCCCTAATTTCTGCTTTATTTATGTTTTTTTTAGAGATTTTTGTCTTAGGGTGCATACACTCACTGGAGAGACAGAGAGCATGAAAGGGAAAGTGAGAAATCATTCCCCAGAGGGGTGACCATGCCACATCCCTTCTTCATTCTCCTTCTGGGATCTTGGGCATGCAAGCACATGCACCTAGCACGAGTTTCAAGCCAACAGGTCCAGGACTTGAAACCATGCTCGGTCATGTGGGAGTCCAGCGGCGTAACCGCTATGCCATCTGCTGGCTCCAGTTTCTGCTTTTAAATGACAATGAAATTTTTTTTTTTTTGAGAGGTTTTTGCTATAGGGTGCGTGTGCCTGCCAGACAGACAGAGAGAGACAGAGAGACAGAAAACGAGAAATCACCCCCCAGGGAGGATGGCCACACCACAATCCCTTCTCCTCCATTCTCCTCTCAGGATCTTGGGCACGCACACACACACGCCCAGCCTGAGTTTTAAGCCACCGGGTCCGGGACGCGAACCGCGGTCGACTACGTGGGAGTCCAGCGACATAGCCATTACGCTAACTGCTGGTTCCTGACAATGAAATCTTAAGAATACCACTGCTGAACAAGATCTCATTTTAGGGACTGGCACATGGTATGGTGGTTAAAGGCACTGGACTCCCACATGGCTAACCGCTGTTTGAGTCCCGGACCTGGTGGCTTGCTTTCTCGCTTTCCCTCTCTGTCTCTCTCTGTCTCTCTCTGGTCAAATTTAAAAAATAACAATAAATAAAGTTAAATAAAATAATTCTTAAAAAAATTTATTTTTTTAATTGCCAGAGGGCATGTGCATGCATAAGAAGAGGGAGAAAGTACTCCCCAGTGGGGCAGGATCAGCAATCCCGTCTCCAGTTTCCACCCTGTTGGGATTTGGGCCGCACATGCACATCTGCGCAGCATGTTTTCAGTCCTCAGTTCCGGAATTCAAATTGCGGTTGGCCCTGTGGGACTGGTTTCCTTAACCATGAGGCTATGGGGCCAGCTCCAGATCTCATTTTCGTTGAAGTTCAAGTTCTTGGGTCCAGTTGAAAGGGCGGCAGAGCTGCACATTTAAGGTTCTGTGTAACCACCGTACCCACATTTCACATGTTCTCTCCTCTCTTTGTAGGTGGAGACCACACAGTCACGTACCCCATATTACAGGCCATGGCACAAAAGTAAGTCCCCAGAGGCTTGGCCCAAGTGAGGTTTCAAAATCCAGGAGCAAGGGCATGAGCTTTTGCTAGGTGACATTGGGCAACCACAGCAGGCCCAGGGTGTGGGAGGGAGGTATAGGAAATTCCCAGCTGAGTTCTTCTGCGACCGAAATTAAGGTCGCGCTCCAGGTGTCTCTGTCAGTCACCGGCCGGAAGCCAAGAGGGTTTATTATTAACAGTCTGACCTCCTCCCTTGCCCTAGATCTGTTCCGGTATGCGTGCTCAGCATTTTCAACTTGCCTCTGTTTTGGAAGAGCCCTAGCGAAACACGCAGCCCCGGTTAACTTCAATTTCTGTTTTGCTTCAACAGCCACATACAAATAAATACTGACAGGCACAGTGGTGGGCCCTGCTAGGAGCTTGTTTCCTCCTGATAGGGCTCCTTTCCCAGACAACGAGGAGACCGATTTTCCTGCAACGGCTGTCTACCAGGGCTTGGCTAACTTTGGCTAATCTAGTTTGAAAATGAGGCAGACGGACCGCGGCCGTGGGTGGCAGCTGCAGAATTCGTTTTTGGGAAAGGCGTGTGGGTAGTGTTCTAGTTGGAGGCGAGTGGGTGAAGCCTTTCCTTGATTTGACTTGTCTCCCTGGGGTGGCTGGCAGGGCTGGTCAGAGACTATGGGGAGAGAGCTGGGTTGGAGCTTCCTTCGGTGCCACAGTTGGACACATCCATGTGTCCCCTGCCCTATCTGTCCCCAAGTGAGCAACTTCCCAATGACAGGCAGTGGGTGGCAGCCTAAGCCCTGCCATTCCTTCCCGAGTTTGTAGTTCCAGACACTGTGATTTGAAGGTGGAAACCAGTTGACAGGCTCGTAACTGATGCTAAGTCTCCTCTCTGGCTATGAGTTTTCTTCAAGGTTTGGTGGCTTGAGGGGGTTTGTTCTAGGATCCCCCAGGGCGGCTTGGGTTCTGAGTTGCCCTGTTGTCACCAGGCATGGCCCAGTGGGGCTGCTGCATGTGGACGCTCACACGGACACAGCTGACAAAGCCCTCGGAGAGAAGCTCTACCACGGGACGCCATTCCGCCGGTGCGTGGACGAGGGACTCCTGGACTGCAAGCGGGTGGTGCAGATCGGCATCCGGGGCTCTTCCGTGACCTTGGACCCCTACAGATACAGCCGGAGCCAGGTGACAGAGACGTGCCTCTCCTCCTTGCCCGGGCCCTTCCTGTCCATCTCCTGCCTGGGGGCAACTCTGGATTCGACAGGGGCTTTAATAACAAGTTCAGGAGGTAGGGACAAGGGTCCTGTGGAGCCAAGGGAGGGAGGAGGTTGGTTTATGAGGCTCCGGTGGGAGGACGAGCAGAAACCAGCCGCGTCCTTGGGTGTTGCTGGCTTGGAAGAGGGAGGTGCTTTGAACTCAAGGCCCCCTGCCACGTTCTTAGTTGTCACCCACATACCCACCAGGCAGGATGGCTCGCAGGTTAGCACGTACGAGACCCCATAGGAAAGACCCTAATCCTTTGCTTTTTGTGCGCCGAGGTCAGCCTCCTGGGCAGCCGTTCGGAAGGTGCTGGCGCGAGCCGCCCTGCGCCTGGTCGCTTTAGCACAGTTCTCTGACCCCACCTCCACAGTCAGCTCTGACCCCGTGTCCTTACCAGTCACCGTCCCTCCCTTCCTCACCTGTCCCTTGGGGACATTGTTTCCTCTTCATGGGGGCTGAGGGACATATGCGATGTATACACGTGGAGCTTAGCAGGGGTCGGCACACGGCCAGTGCCAGCCCACTAGCGTCGCCGAGCAGAGCTCGCCCTCAGCTCTTCGGCTCCCACCTCAGGGCTTCCGCGTGGTCCTGGCGGAAGACTGCTGGCTGAAGTCGCTGGTGCCGCTGATGGCGGAAGTGAGGCAGCAGATGGGGGGCAAACCCATCTACGTCAGCTTTGACATCGACGCCTTGGACCCGGCCTATGCCCCAGGGACAGGGACACCTGAAATTGCTGGCCTCACCCCGAGTCAGGTAAGGAGGCTCCACAGGGAAAATTCCTTGGGGTAAGGATGCTTAGTACCCCACTTCCCTGGGACTTGTCGGTCTTCAGAAACCAGGATAAGACAGACAGATACACACACAAACACACACACACACTCACACACCACACACACACACACACACACACACACACACACACACATCTTTTTTAAGTTATTATTTATTTATTTTTAGAATTATTTTATTTAACTTTATTTATCTACTTATTTTAATTTTTTTTAAAGACATATTTATTCAGCATCATGATCAGACTATTACATTTAGCAACCAACAGCATGAGTGCAAAAAAAATCTACATTAAAACCCTTTGTTGGAATGCTTTACACTTTCCACAGAACAGAAACTAAAATAACCGGTTATACAATTAGTCACAAATACAGTCCTCGTATTTTTTGCCCATGCACATGAGTATTGTCTAAAACATGTCTTCTTTGTAGCAGCGAGGCCCTGCCCACTGTGCTTGGCTGAGTTCACACATCTGTTGTAACCTGTGGCTTCCCTGTCACTTCTCTGGCTCTCCTCTCCTGCTAAGCTTTGTCTCCTGGCAGTTCCCTAAAACCCTCTGCCCCT